GTAATGATCTCATAGCGCTCTTGCCTCGCGCTCTGGTGATACCTTTCCAGCAAATCCTGATGCATTTCATATGGATACATGTCCTCATAGGACTTTTGGAGTTCGGGGTTCATGGTGGCCAGCATGATGCAGTGAACTTTCGTGGCATCACGCTCGTGGGCCTCAAAGGCGGCCAATTCCTCAGGAGTAGCAACATCTGGGATGATCTTCTCAAGCTTTTCATCGAGGACATATTCTTTGTCCTCGTAGCGTGTGATCATGCGGATATACCTCATCCACTCGTTGAAGTTTGAACCATCAAATGTCACTTTCTGACACAAGTTCATCAACGAGAATGACCCAGAAGCGTTGTTGTTGTTTGTAGACATCTGAAAAGGAACAAAGTTTGATTAGAAATGAATCCCTAATTAAACACCCAAATGAGTAATTAGGGCTAGGATCCAACAACATTATTTACAACTTAGAAAGGGATGCCGTACTCTAAAAGTAAATAATTTGAAGGTAAGTGAATGACGATTCACTAATTCTCACATGAAAAACGAAAAGCAATTTAGGTTTTAAATGTATTGAAAACTCCTAGATCTTTGAGATTCATTGAACTTTTCAATGGCATGTTTAAATCTCGATATGCATTTCAAATTTGCGACTGGGATGCCGAGGATCGCAAACAAATTTGTGAATAACCATGCGAATCAACGCGGTGCACTCAATGTCTTTATCACCTAATCAATGTGCCGGTGAACCACACACGCTCCATTGATCTATGACAAACATCGAGTCACCCTTCGCTACCAATGTCATCCCCAAATTGATGTGCCGGTTAACCACACGCGCTCCATCAATGTTTGACATGGGTACGAAGTGTAATTCCATGGATTAGCATCATTTTCACATTTTACCCTAAAGTAACTAAGAGTGGGAATTTGTAAAACAATGTAGTTACTTTAATATTTTCATTATACTTTTAATGAGGAATTAAGTGCCCTATCCTATCCGTTCGGCTAACGACCCTCCACCAGTCAAGCAAGCGGTAGATGTGAGTGTACATCCATTAAGCGCCATTTTATAGGCAGCAACCTTATACCCACCTTATAGACCAGTTCGTAAATGAGGCCTACTAGCGATAAGACTAGCTTATTCTTATACATATATAATAATTAATCTTATAATATCATAATTGTATAAGGGTGTATTTTAAAGCATTTCAAAATACTAGTATCTTAATGTGTATTAAAATTTTCGAAAATTAAGGCTATTTAATTTAAAATTTTAAACACCAAAAATACTTTGATTTAATAATTATCAAAATCAAGCAATTAATTTGAACTATTAAATCTTTAAGGTTTATCATAAAATCAAACTATTAATTTATTTAATCCTTTTATCCCTAGATTTTTAAATATATGGAAAGGATAATACAAGATCTTCAATTATCTAGTTTAAACAATTAAATTGATAATCACAAAGATAGCAATATCCAAATCCCTAAAATCTTGGGATCTTATCTTGGGGCAAGGGATTTTCGAAATCCCTAGGGTTTCTTAACCCTAATTTCGAAATTTGGAGGCTAGGCAAAAAGGTTTTAAGAACCCTATCAAAAAATCGCCAACTAGGGTTTTGCAACCCTAATTTGCAAAAATCACCAAGCCTTAGGGTTTACTTGCCATAAACCCTAATTTGTCAAATTCATAATATGTATCAAATCCAATTGAAAACAAAAAACCAATGGCTCTGATACCACTGATAGGTTTAATACAAACAATCCTATGTGTGCATGCAACCCTAGTTGGATCTATGTTTTCACTATAAGACATACAACTTTATGAACACAAAATAAACCCTGGCATGCATCTATAATTTTCGAAAATTACATAGAAGTGTAGTAGACATACCTTTGTTGTTATATAGCAATAACAACTAGTTTCCTTGATCTCTTGAACTCTCTTGAACTGTTGAAAGCAAGCACCACAATTGTAGTGCCTCTAATGGCTCACAAACATCTTGAAGCAAGAAGGCAACTAAGAGAGAGAAGGGAATGATGCTAATTTCGGCCCTAGGGTTCCCTTGGAATCAAGTGGTCTCAAATTGAAGCATAGGGCATGTATTTATACTATAGGGTGCTAGGGTTTTAGTCTAAACCCTAATGGACAGCTTAGCCACCAAGCAGCCCAAGAAACCTTATGGAATGAGGCCTTAGACGAAAATATGATGATCCTTCATCATAATTTCGTTCCCCCTTAGTCCATTAGGTTTCCTAGCCCAAAACTCAACTATCACACATTTGACAGTTTATACCCCTTTATTTAATTAATCTCTTTTAGTCACCAAATTAATTCCTAATTAATTTATGACTAATACTAATTAAATAAATATGATTTCTCCTTTAATATATTATTCTTATAATATATTAATAAATCATAATATCTCCTCTCTCATATCAAATTACCTTGTCAAGTTGCTTTGGTGAAGGCAACCCAAAAGGACCACACACACTCGGGTCAAGTATATACCAAATATGGTTACTGACTTAGACATTAATCCAACACTAACTACCTTAAAGCAATTGTTAATTAAGGTATAACGTGATATAATTGTAACCATACTTGATCGACCTAGTAAAACACGACGCATGAAGACGTCGAAATGGTATGACATTCATCACCCGAAGACCTGTAGGTCCCACTGTAGCTAGCTGCAAGGTGTAGGACGGTCAGTCCAGTATAGATCTATACACGAACTCACGTTCTTCCTTCAGAAGACTCTGGTTACAAGACGAGCATGACAAATATCATGCCCCGAAGTAGTGCCTCACATTTATGTTATAGTGTGTATGTATTGTATGTACTAGTGTAGTGTATGTTCTCTCTGATTCTCATCATAGTACGTTCTATCGTATATTATATAGTGTGGTATGAATAGTATGTACTACTGTATGATCCCTCTGTATAGTGTATAGTATGTTCTCTTTGCATACTGTATAGTATGTATCGACGCATGTATGAACTGACTCTTTGTATGTTTCATTGTACTAGAAATTAGTAAGTAGTATATCCCTAAACTATACCTATTATAGCTTACTAGAACTATTGTTTGAATGACTAGAAAGCTTATACACCTTTCTTACTCAAAAGTGCTAGAACTGAAGTAAAAGCTTTATATCCACACACACACACACACACACACACATATATATATATATAATATAACTAAGCATCAAATGACACTCGGACAAATAACCGAGTAATCTAAGTCCACAACCAAACAAGGAACAGGGATTAAAGCGAGTTATCAGTCCTAAGTCCTTCAAACCTTACTTATATAACTATATATGTACTGGATATGGTTTTGACAATATATAAGTTTAAAGAAATTGTAAGTAAAGTTTGGAATCAAGAGTAAATTTAATAAAGAGTTTAACATGTAAAAGGGTTTGATAATCATTTTGAAGTAGTTTTGTTGATAAAACAGTTTAAAGTATAGTAAATCCATTTGTTTGCTAGTTATTAATCACATGTGATTGATATAATAACTAATATGATTCAACTTGTATTCCCCACCCCCTCATAAAAGCATTTAAAACATTTAAAAGGTTGATTCAGGGGTATGAACTCACCTGTAGTGAGTGTTGCGACTGTAAGATCGGTTAGGAAGTTGAGTTTCATTTGCGGACTTGAGCACAAACGAATCCTATTAACCATATAATGACATATATATGTATACCATTAGTGCTTGTAACAACTAATTATTGAATTGGGGTCACCTTAGAGACTAGTAAACACTTATATTGAAGTGTTACAACCATATACGGTAGTATACAAGGGGTATATAGCTATACAAGGGAGTGTATGGTCAAAATACACCATTTGTGTGTGTGTGCGGCCATGGTGTTTGTGCGGCCGCACACTCCCCATGAAGTGTATTAAAACGTATTTTAAGGCCTTAGGACTCATCTAGGAAGGTTTCTTACTTCATGCTCTAGCCTTATATGGAGTTCATTGCCACTTTAGGACCTAAAAAGGGTGTGTATGGTTGCACATGGTGTGTGCGGCCGTACACTCCTGGAGATTATGAGAAATGGTGTTTTTCCTGCACATCTTGAAGTGTTCTTGGCATATAACAAGCTATGATAAGTGTATGCATGATTTAGAGGCTTAGAAGTATGGTTAAACTCCAAAAAGTTTAGTATGTGTTCTTGGTGTTCTTGGTGTTTTTGGTGTTTTTGAAGATCTAACATCAAAATGTGTTTTTCATGGATCAAAGTAGGGAAGAAGGCTAGATAAGTTCATGTATCAACTAATCGAAGGAAGGATTACTTACTTTTATGAAGATCAAGATGAAGATTTGGATGGTACTTGAGAGAGAAACGTGTTCCAACTTTGAAGGAGTGGGAAAAGTGTTCAAAAATGACTAAGGGTAGCATTTATAGGTGAGAGTGTGTGGCTGGAATGGGTGTGCGTCCGCACACACTTGTGTGTGGCTGTACACTCAAGTGTGCGGCCGCACACTCCATGTGTCCGAGTGTTTGGCCCGAGTGTGCTTGATATGCATCGTGTTATCCCATTTCTAGGCTCCTATCTTAGTTGTACTAGGTTTAGAACAACAAATAGACCTTAAACCGTGTTAAAAAGATATAAAAACGAGTCTAACTTTGATTACATTGGTCTATTATACAAGATAGAAATTTCGGGTTGTCACATGTAAATAGATAATATGATAATTAGTTTCCACAAATAATATCCTATAATTATGGTAAACATTGACTTCAGCTACCTAGGTTTTCTCCATCCATCGTTGGATTTTTAAAACCACTACCTATTCGATCCCAAAACCATTACTGTCGAGGTTGAAGGGCACATCCGACAGCCCCTAGCCATCAGAGCATTACTATCAACTGGTGATGCTCTACCACCGCCACAACCTATCTCAGACATCAATTTCTCTATTTCTGATACACCAGAGGATCTCGATCCAGAGAAAGAGAGAAGGCGTTCGTTGAAGACATGAGTAATAAGGAGCAGATGAGGAAAAAGGTCGGGATACGCTTGAAAATACCCTTCTGTTCAATAATTCTACACCGTGAGGAGTATGCCGGCAATGGCAGCAATCGGTGGAGGAAACGTTTCCTCAATTCAAAATCATCATCGTTTGCTTCCTCTCATCAGCGGGGTGGTCTAGGCTTCATCGTCACTCCGCTCCCGCCTTCCATGTCCGTTTTCTATGTCGATTCTTCTATCATTCAAAATTCAGGTATATGCTTGTATATGTGCGTGAATTGATTATTCAAGTCGGTTCAATGTAAATGAGACTTTTTTAACATAAATTGCACCGGTCTTGATTTATAGGGTTTTATCTGTGTAGAGGTTTAGGGGAGGGTTTAAGCCACTGGCGATCTGTAAGTATAACTGCAATTGCAAATAGGTATAGTGTAAAAGAGGTCGTGTCAATGACCTTCTTCTTATACGTAAAGTACAAAGTGAAGGTAGTTTGTCACTATTTTCATAACAAAATTACTTCTTCTTATATGATAAAAATCAATTTGTTTCTGTAGATGATTCAATAGATGATATTGGTGCGATTCCAATTCTTTTGGAAAGGAATCACGAATTTCAGTTCTGTGGGAATGGAATCATGAATTCTAATTCTGTTGGAATGGAGTATGAATATTTTCTCACTGATTTATGCATGTTCTACAATTCTTGGTTATCGGTTTTGGTGCAATTCACAAGTCCACATATTTTTCCAAAGGAATTTAGTTTTTTATTTTTCATTTGCGAATGCATTATTGGAATCTAAACTACAATTTGGTTTTGTTTTCACAAAAGTTGATGCTTGAAGAACGGACCACAAATTGAAAGTGATTCTAAGCAACATTATTCTTTTAGAATGTATTAGTGTCGTTGTTAGATTTTGATGTTTTCTTTCCCTTTTTGAAAGTTTTTTTAGTTATATTCTTTAACAATAAATGTAATTCTTAACAATTGTTATCTGTATTCTATAAGAAATAATGTATTTTTTGATTTTATTCTTCAATTGATTGTTCAAGAATTTGTTATTCTACAAGAAGTTTTTAAAGTCATGATCAAGAAGTAGGTTCAAGAATATTTTTATTATTGATGGTTCAAGAATATTTTTATTGTTGAATATACTCATAAACATATTCTGTCAAAATGTCCGAATTAAAAGAATTATAATTCGTAAAATCGGATTATTAAAATTAATAGAATCTATGATCCCTTAAAATATGCAATTTTCCTTTATTAAATGTATATTAATTGACTAAAATATCCTTGTAATTAAATTAGATGATATTTTTCAATTATATTTAATTCAATAATATGTATTAATCATTTTCTTAAAATAAATAAAATTGATTGGCCCACATTTATGCATATAATAACACAATAATTACTTTGAATAGAATAACCTAAGCCTATATATATATATATATATATATATATATATATATATATATATATATATATATATATGAGATGAATAATACATATAATAAGTATACCGTGTAAATACAACACAAATAACAACATGATCGACTAGGGGAGCCCCCAATAACAAGAGTTATATGAGACACAATTCATCAACACGCTAATAGATTTTTAGCTAGCACCCGGACTATAATCGTTAATTATTAAGTGAGCGAGAGAGATATGTATAGATCTATACGGGGATTAACACTCCCACATGTGGTTGCAAGCTACAACCCGATGACAAGTCGAAGCAGGCATAACTTTCTAAACACAACGACACCCGATGAAGCGTCATGGTATTTTCGAAATCAACAGTCATAACTCGATTATAGGAACTCATTGTAACTTTGTCAAACTAAAACTAGTTATCATAAACTACTAATAAGAATTAATTAAGTGGTGATAGTACACACTAACTCGGAAAAGCAAGTTTAGGTCACACTAAAACTAAACTATCACGAACTACCAATACTATACGTCGTGATAGTTCACATAAAATCGAGGAAGCGAGTTTGAATACAACATTCACGATTCTTGAGGAACGCCTTGAGAAGCAGTGCCTACAACACGATAAAAAGAAATATTAGGAGAATATGATCAAAACACTAACATTGAGATAAGGTAACAAGTAAAATATACATCTTCTATCCAAATCAGGATTCAGATTTAGTCACTAAACTATCTGAATCCTACTACGAAAACACCATAAATTACGCTAACACGCTGATATAAGTAGAGATTGCAACGAGTGCTAACTTAAGAACATCAACAAACTATTTTCACACTTAACAAACTTGTGAACTCACAAACATTATGTTTACCCTCTCAAAATCACATGTATTCCTATGTCAACATACAGAGAAAAAAGACCAACCACGGAGTACAAACAACTATCAGGCTATCAAAGGAGATGGAAACTCAGCACGAAGGCCTCTTCCATAAAGCCAACAGTTTCGAAAGTCGCATCGCTCGGTGTTTTTGCCACGGGCCGAGGGTGTGATAGAGCTTGTTTACGTTAGTTAACCAGGTAAAAGAGAACTTGCTAGAGTTTGTTAATAGTTTTCGGCACCGGCTTAGATTGAGCACATCTTAAATAACCAGGTATGGTTTGATTGCATAATAGGAGAGTCGTAGCGTAACTGAAACACTTTTTATTACCGAATTTTCTTAAATTTATTTCACTGCAACCTCTAGTTATTAATTCACAACAAAAGCCCCCTTTTATTATTTTATGCATTTGACTAGTATGTGCCTTATACAAAGAGACATTGATTTTTAAGTTGTGTCACTGTGGATACGACCCTGCTTCCCTTTGCTAGTCATTAGTGCTTCACTGTGCTAGCCATTAGTGCAATCAAGTAGTAAAATTATTATTTGTTTAAGATGTCCACGACAACGTTTTAACACTCGTCATTAGTCATGGTATTTCACTTGTGTAGGAGTTCACATAGGGGATCGAAGGTAGTTAGACCTCGTATTCTTCGGAAAAACATAACGAGAGCGGTAACCACTCATGCGAGAAATGCATAAATTTTATAGAGTAGTATGGCTGAAACCATCAAAGAGGTGGCCAAAAACACAATAAGAATGTTTACAAGAAAGTCAAAGAATATAAAGAATCTTTATTGTGGATTAAGGAAGTACGAGCAAAAGTCAAGGCAAAATAATAATTTTTTTTTTAAGATAATATTAACTTATTATATTGATTCATCAAAATTAAGTTTATACAAAATTAAGTTTTATTTATATAATAAATAGACACTTGTGGACCATTAATTTTTACCCATAAGAAGTTCCATCTACCTTTTATCTTCTTGAAGATCCGTTTGCAACCCAAAAGGGACATAACCTTGTGGCAAATCAAACAATACCCAAGTATTGTTCTCTAAAATTGATGATAATTCATCATCGATTGCCTTTTTCCAAAATGCAACATCTCAAGATTTCATGGCCTCTTTAAAGGTTTTGGAATGATGCTCAATACTATAACAATAACAGTATTGAAATCCGAGGTCGTCTCTCGACCCATTTGCAACATAAAAAGACAAAATACTATAACAATAACAGTATTGAAATCCGAGGTCGTCTCTTGATCCATTTGCAACATAAAAAGACAAAATCTCGAGATCAAGCAGGACCACCGCTAGGGACGTTGTCCCTAGGATCCTGTAGAGGACCCCTCCCTACCACCACCACCACCACCACCATCATTTAGTCGAACCGGTATCAAACTCGTTTTATACAAACATGCACTCCGCACCTCCTAACTTGTCTAAAATCAAGAATTAAACTTCATTGTTAATCTATAAATTCATTATACTAAAATGACTTGGTGGCATTAAAATCACAAACATCAGATGAAATTGGTTAGACTTTCTCTTCTCCTCGACATAAGAAACTCATCCATGCTATCCACATGATGGTGTCATGGTTCATTTGGAAAACAAAGAACAATCAAAATCTTTAATAATAACTCCTTGGTGGGTTGTGTGATTAATAAAATCCAAGGGGAACTCTTTCCTTTGGATCAAGAACACAAGTAAGGCGAGTTGTTGCGTGTTTTCAGTGTGTATCAGTATCACACGTATTGTGTGTTTGGTGTGACTTTTGAATCTTTTTTTTTTTTTTTTTTTTTTCCTGGGGGGCTATGGTAGTTATAATCTTAGGATGGCTGCCATACTTTTACTCAATTGCTCTTTATTTTGTTTCAACAACTTAGGGTGAGTTTTTTTTTCCCCTTTCTGTTTTATGGAAGTCTTTACATGTCAAGTTATAAAGTTGTTTTGAAGCTATATAGTAGCATTTCAATCTTTGTCAAGGGGATAAAATTTGGATCTACATTCATCGTGATCACGTTATTGGTTGTGAAATCCCAACTGAAAGAAGCCTTACTACAGATGTCATTTATAATAAGGGGTTTATTTGGCTTGGTGAGTTGAAGGGTATATTTGCAAATTTTCCGTATGTGGCTTGGTTTTTTGTTTTACCCTTTTACCCTAGTGGAGATGCCCCTGTTCAATTCTATGCTGGTGACAATTTTGATGCTTTCAGATGAAGTTCAAAGGTGCTGCTCTGTTAGATGGCTTTGGTGAGAATGTTATACAGCTGAAGGTAGACCTCTTAAAATTTAAAAGTTTTCATCAAAATACTTCAAAAGATGACAAAGTACAGGAAAACAAGCAAGTAGAACTAAATGCGAAATAGACATTTATTAAATGCTTAATAAAAAAATATTAGACAAATGATAAGGATAAAGTCATGCACTTGAATAGACTTTTTTTTTTTTAATATCTTTGTATCTCCTCATGAGAAATCTTCAAATCTTAAACTCACTAATGCTAAAAGTCTAAAACGATTAAAGGGTTATATAAATATAAGGAAAAATAAGCTTATCGAACAAAAACTTATAGATTACCAATATTGACATGATAATTGATAAAGGTTTTTCATTTCGTCTATTACCTAACCATGGGTACCGACCCATAAGACAGATCAAGTTGAAAAACTTCACAAAACTCCTTCACTAATGAATCATGAGCAATATCAATGAGTTTAACATCATCATCATCATCATAAAAAGATTTTAAAAAATGCTCATTAGACTCTCTCAAAAGCCCCTTGATGCTTCCAACTCCTCGGTCTCGTATTCCACAAGGAATTATTTGTTCAAAAGGTGAAAGATCAGTACAAACATTCAAAGCTAACCCATGATATGTTAGCCATCTTGAAACCCGTATACCGATTGCCGCTACCTTTTTGTCCCCTACAAAATAAATACACATTTCTTATGCGAGACTGATAGACTGTCAGTCCGGAGAACAGACTTTCTAGGGCTATTTTCAATGACGAGAATAACTGGGTAAGTAACGCATTCACTTTCTTTTATACATAGAATTGCATTATTTTTCTCCATCAGATGTTTTGGGTATTGATATCAGTCTAATGTTTGTCAAACACAGTATAAACTTACCAACCCAAACTCCAGTTAAACCGTCGATCCGTGAAGCCTTGAGAGAGAAGGTTGAGAAAAGTACGCGGATTACTACCTCCTCAAGTGCCCTGAGGTACCAATGAAGATCCATCTTTTGGAAACGAAGATTCAAGATCGGGTACATAACTAGCTAAAATCAAATGATTTTTTTAACACAACAATTATAAGTTATAACCCTAAATAGTATCAAATCAATAAAAAGTTAAAAACTGTTTCTTTTTTTTACAGAATGTTTGATCGAGTAAATCGTCTACCTGTCCTGGCCCATGATAAGTAACTTCACCACCACGTTCTGTTTGATACAATGGCAAAGGAGAATCTTTGATGTCGAAATTCAAGTTGTTTTCAGTGCTAGCAGTACCCAATGTATAAACAGGTTGATGTTGGAGTATAATCAAGGAATCAGAATCGTCTTCATTGATATCAATCAATGTCTTCCGTTTTTCAACTATCGATTGTTGCCATGACCATGCTTCTGCAAATGGAACCACCTCTTTGTACATATCGTAACATTCGCATCTATATATCACATGATTTATATGACAAGATTCAAATTGAAGAAAAAAAAAAAGGGTGTTAGGTAATGAAGGCAAGGTGTTTGATAAAATGCTTGAATGAGTAGGATTATACCTTCTTCTGGTGGTGTGTTGGATTAATGAATCGGATTCTGCGGTGGTGATCTGCGAAAGAAATGCTTGTTGTGATGTGTTTCTTCGGTTTGAATGAGAGCGGAGCTTCCATGGTGAAATCGAGAAGCTCAAAGAAGAGTGAAGTGACGCAATCATGAAATCGATGTAATGGGTATCGTAGGATGTATCTGAAACTGGGGAATATCGTAGGAAGATCAAAGCGTGTTTGATTGAACCATTGAATTGAAAAGATTTGGAATTGCGGAGTAAACAAGAAAGTATTCGGAATACATTTTATTTTGACGAAATTGGGAACGAAAAACGTTGTCCACTGTTAAACCATTGAATCTGAGGGTTCAAATTAGAAACTAGATAGCAAGATACTTAATTGCCGCCGTCAAGAATTGATGATCAGGCGGTCCGGCGGGAGGTGGTCTGGTGATGGGGCAGTAAGCGGAAGAACGGCGAAGGGCAGGTAATTGAAATTATAGAAGTCTGTCGATTGTCATGTATATTGCAAGAGTTAACAATTTATATGTATGTATTAATTTATTTGTTTAATATGATATTTGTTTATAGTTTTTTATAATTAAAAAAAAATCAATAATAATAGTTTATATTTCTTTTCTTGCTATGAATTTAGATTTTGAAAATCTAAAGAAAGATTGACGATTTTTTTATTTGCATGCCATTGTTATAATCAATTTTTTTTAAAAATGTAATTTCATAAAAAGAATATAATAAAATTAAGAAGTTGTAATATAAATGATAGTACTAGTTTATAACCCGTGGAAACTACCGTTATAAAATTAATTAAATTTTTATAATAAAAAATTATAATTATTAATCAATTATTTTAAATAAATTATTAATTAAAAGATATCTCAAAATTTTAAAGTTATTATAACTTCAAATTTAACATATAATTAGAAAAGGTAAATTTGAATTGTAAAATGAATTATCTAATATATCTACATGACACATGGCATAATATTAATATTAATGAGGAGTTATGTTAGAATAACACTTAGAATAGGGATGTCTCTTATACCATTTTCTCGAATATTAAAATTAAAGAAATGGAAGAGAAAAAAAAATAACGGAAAAAGAATTTAATGTGAAAGATCCCAACTTTCGTATTTTAGAAAGATCCAAACTTTCATATTACACATTATCATTACTCCAAAACATGCTATTTGCATATTCATAAAAGCAATATTTTACATTGATATAAAGGATTTACAAACTATTGGATACAAACCTTCTATTACAAAGTGTTATATATATTACATAACTACCCAGGATATTGTAATTTATACAAACATAAAAAGTAGTACAAAAGTACTATTATAAACTATTCTACATCTTTCAATAGTATGTAAACATACTATTTATTTATCATCTGCAATTGTTAAACATTGATAGGGTAAGCGGTGACGCTTAGTGAGTTCAAAAATAAATACAATATAATGTTATGCCATATATATACTTCAATGTGCCAAGGCAAAGAGGAACAACAAGATGTATGTGATGTAACAAGCGTTCATATCAATCAAAGACATTATTCAAAGATATTCTTTTCAATTCTTGATATACATCAATAAAGCTTTGGACCAATTGGCATAGAAGACATGCAATTTCTGATTAACATCTTGTTAGATTTCAGGCTTATAAATGCCATAGAATAGAAGTCATTCTCTTACGGAGACATGCTCTACATGGCCAGAGGCTACATACCAGTCTACAGTCTACAAGCTTGATAATTACTTCATTACCCTAGGCTTGGTTTATATAAGCCCAAGGCCCAATCTACAGGCCCAAAGCAAACTAGGAATCAAAGCCCAGCATATGGCCCAATTTTCCAAATTGGACCCAGGCCTATACATGGTCTTATTCTAAGGCCCATCATCATATAATCATTAAGGCCCAAACTATGGCCTATATATGGCCCAATTTTCCAAATTAGGCCCAAACCCCTTACGTGGGCCTTACCCCATGCGCATTAAATTATTCTAGTTCAATTGCTTGTTCTTGGATGGTCCATTATTATCTCAATCATTTAGGCCCAATAATAAACCCAAGTGAAATTAGGGTTTCATATAAAATGACGATTAGGGTTAAGTTTCCTACTTAACCCATTAAGGACTTTATCCTCTAAGGACTTAATCAATTAAGTCCAATATTGCTTAGATTAATTTCTTGACAACGATTATTATTTAATATATCCAGTTATTAAATAATTCCCATGTGTCCCGATTAATTCCCCGAATTAGGGTTTTATTGGCATTGTGGTTCTTTCGTCCCAAATGTTAGCCCATTTATCAATTTATTGGGTTTTTAGGTCCATTAGGGCTTTATTGGTCCTACTAGGTCCACTAGAATGTCATTAAGCCTACTAAGGTTTTATTAGGGTCCATTAGAATCCATTAAGCTTCATTGGGCCCATTTGAGCTTCTTTGGGCCCATTAGGGTTTCAAGCATTCCCAATCGAGTCAACTCACAAGACAAGCACACCGCCACCCGACACGACGGCCGGTGGCAGCAACCACCACCCTACGGTGGTGGTTTTGAGATCTCATTTCATTATTCCAGGTTGTGATTTACATTTTACAATGAAAATACCAAAATAAACATGCACACAATACACTATAATAAACATACACACATAACCACCCTTGTGGTGGCCGGCGGTGACACGTGGGGGCAGCCACCACCCCACGGTGGTGACAGTGGCGGTCCTTGGCTTTCCGGATTGACAAACACCCGCAACACACATTTTGAAGAGAAGTTCACACACGTAATTACATCATATTACACACACACACCTGCAAGAAATAAACATAAACAGCCACCCCCCAACGGTGGTAGGTGGTGGTCGGGGATGATAGAAACAAAAATGGCAGCAGCAAGCGGCGGCTGGGCGATCGTCGTCGTTTTGCACACGAAGGAAAAGGGAAGGAGTCGCAGGAGGTTCTTCTTTTCTGTGAAACGAAAGCAACAACAGCATCCCGCAACACCCAGCTCTGATTCCTTTACCCGACTTCTCTTCTCACCGGGAGTGACAGTAGCGACAACAGCGAGTCGATGGATGCTCGACAACGCATGGTGGTCGGAGAATGGAAGGCTTCTGTGGTGATGACAGTCGTTCGGTGGTCTTGCCGGTCGGAACACAAGCGTAAAAAGGTGGTGGTGGCCATCCCGTGGTTGCTTGCCATCGTTGCTGGTCGGAAACGGCTGGAGTTGAGTGGTAACAACACCGACGACGAAGGGGGCATAAGGTGATGGAGAGGTGGCGGCTGGAGGGAGGTATAAGGTCGGCTGCATAAAAATGGTCAATAGGGTTAGGGTTTATTCCCTATATACCCGATGCCCTTAAACATTTTTTTCCATAATGCTACAATTAGCCCCTCTCTTCTCATATCTTTTCAAACTAAGCCCAATTTTTACCTTTTCTACCCCAGCTTCTGAAATCCTTTACATTTTAAGTTTAGAATTTACTTTTAGCCCCTTACTCCATAAAATCTTTTCAACCTTACTCCAATACTTACCTTTCAACCCCTGACTTTAAAATCCTTAATAAATTAATCCAAAAATGGTATTTTTAGCCCCTTAAACTTTCAATTATGACTTTTAACCCCCGTAACTGACTTCTTGCTACACTATTCCGCTTTTAGGGCTATTATGTATTTATTACTTTATTTATTTATTAAATAAATAAACGGGGTATTACAGTACAGCTGAGTACGCCCTGCATACTCAGTCAAAGTGGGTTTCGCACAATTGGTCCTTGGTTTGGGCCATTCATTGGACTTTGCTACTTTAGGCCTTTGCGAGCCATCAGGAATCATATATTTTGGGCTAAGAATATGTTTGGGCTTTAGGGTAAGGCCCATTAGAGGGGTTGGGGCCAATTTAGAAAATTGGGCCATTAGTGGGCCACAAGTGGGCTTGGGAATGCTAACTAGTATTTGGGCCTTTGTGTGTGGATTTGGGCCTTAGTCATGGACTAGTTAGGTCAGGGGCAATGGTGTTTTACCTCAAACTTAGATTAAGGGATTTTGAGTGGGTGTTATTGTAACGACCCCATTTCTGGTATGTTATTTAATGTTTATTTTTCTAAGTATTCAAGAGGGACTCGACGAGTCTGTTGCCCGACTCGTCGAGTAGAGATGGGATTTCCAGCACGTGTAAGTGGGCGACTCGACGAGTCCATATCCTGGACTTTGCGAGTCCAACAGTCTGGAAGAAACCCTAGATCCACGGGTTTTGCACCCTATATAATCCCCTTATGCACCCAATCTGGCCTCCCTCACCCTCAGAGCGTTTCATAGTAATACCCTAACCTATCTTGAGTGTTTTTAGGCATTTTTGTGTCAAGAGTGAAGATTGGAAGAGAGGAGGAAGGCTAGATCCAAAGGAGAAGAAGGGGAACAAGATCTTGCATCCATTTCAGAGTCATTTGAGGTATTAATCGGACTCTTTCTGTTCTTTGGTTGTTTTTCTTCAAGAATGTCATTTAGGTTACCTTTTTGCCCATTTATGAGCTTAATCTACTAAGGGAGCTTGTGTAAGTGTTATAGCTTTCAGATCTAATCATATTTTTGTCCCAAAACCCATATCTAATACCTTTATTGAACCTTGTTGCATATAAACCCTAGATCTATCCTTATTCATGCATTTTAAGCCTATAAACCTCTTTAGGAGTATATGTGCACGTAAAAATGGAACCTTTACGTGCAAACTAGGCCTTAGGAGCCCAAATCTATCAGTTGGATGCGTTGGTTCTGAGCAGAATCGCCTGAATAGTAATTGCATGCATGCGACTCGGCGAGTCATTCTTTGGACTCGGCGAGTCACAGCCAGAGTGTTCATACATTGAAGGGGGACTCGACGACTTGTTCATACAACTCGGCGAGTCGGATGCAGATTGATTAAGTGATAGCATAGAAGGGAACTCGTCGAGTCTACGCCAAACTCGACGAGTAGTAGCTATCAGAATCAAAGAAGTGAGGATGAGGACTCGATGAGTTGGTGACCCAACTCGACGAGTCAGGTCAACTGTATGTTGACTTTGACCAATAGGGTTGACTTTGACCAGGGGTAAAATAGTCATTTTACCCTCAGTATAGTTATCAGTATTTGATTCAGTGTGTTATGGAAATTGTAGCCGGGGAGATACCGGAGCAACAATAGACAGTTTCTAGAGCGGTTCATTTACCATCCAGTTTACGAGGTGAGTTTCCTTCCAGTAAGAACGAGTCTAAGGCCATAATGTCGGCCCGTTTAGCTAGTAGTAGTTTCCGGAGTTCGGTCCGATGCAGTTTTTAGTATGTTTGATGCCTTCGTGGCTCAGATAGGATTATGTGTCACACCTCCAAACCAAGGATGGCGGAAACATCCGGGGTGGAGGACTTCATGTAGAGTATCACAACAACGAGTATAATAGTGCTCAAAGTAAATACAACCATCACAATTATAATTGAAAAAGTTACATCAAAGTACATGTTGACATGATTCACATCAATTACATTATGATACAAAATGAACTGTTTGACGATTTATCGTCCCATCCTCAAAACGTTGTTGATTTCCTGTTTTCACTGAATTCCTGAGAATACAAGTAGTTTTGAAAAAGTGTCAACACAAAGGTTGGTGAGTTCATAAGAGATTTCGTTAGAAAAGTAAACCGTTTTACTTGTAAAAGCGTTAGCATATGTATCTAGAAAATCCGATATTTTCTTTAAAATCTGTGTAATGTAGTCTTATGACCGAAGACCAAAATGTATAAGCAACCTTTCTTACTAATAGAAAATGTTATGTGTTTAAATGGACATGGACACGTTTGAATTAAATGAAATTTCCGTAAGTTCTTATGTTTGTTAATACTTTATGTATATGTAGTCCTAAATCCGAGGACCGAGAAATAACAAGTATTGGCCATACTTAAAGGTATAAATGTGGTTTCAAATGATGTGTAGTCATAATTACCAAAACCGAAAGTGTACAGTAATATCTGTACTCATTGAGATAAAAAGTGATTTTAAATCGACATAAAACCCATTTAGGTTTTATAAATAAAATCCCGTAAACTTTATGGATTGTTATATCCCTATGTGAGTCGCTATAATCATACTATGACTATGTGAACCTGCCACGACGTTTCTCAGGCATCGCGAAACTGAAATGACATTTGTCACCCGTAAACCTGCAGGTCCCACTGTAGCTAATAGCTTCATTTTATTTACTTCTTTTTATAGTTTATTTTAGCATATTTCATTCATAACTTAGATAATTTCCATGCATATTTTCCTTTTCGTTATTTTATGACTATTTCGGGTACTCTCGAATCTTGTGAGCATAATTGCAGGTTTTCGGGTCTAGCGGAGCGGGAGTGTTCGGGACGTGTAGGAGGCGATGAGTTTTGGTAGACAAAAATGACATTGGGCTTGATGGGTAGTGGAGATGATGCATGGAGTGATCTTGATGATCATTTGAAGACTTGGAGAGAAATAAACTTTAAATTTGCAAGATGCGGGGGAATATTCAAGCGTATGAAAATTATTAATCGGGAGAGTACGCGAGCTTTGGAGGATTTGGAGAGGTCAAATTAGGCTTAAAATGAAGAAAAACTTGAAGAAAATGGGCTAGGAGGTGATTGGACTCGACCTGGGCCAAGTGGGCTAAGCTATGAAGGCCCAAAACCTCAAAGATGCTACACCCAGGGACCACCCGCGCAACCCACCCGCGCACCAGCATGCGGGTCGCGCAAGGCCCTGCAGGGGTAATTTCGGAAATTCATTTGGAAGGCTATTTGAGGAAGGTTGGTGCCCATCTTTTGCATACACTTGCACATCCGATTTTTGGAGATTCTCTCTGGAGTTTTGAAGACTTTTGAAAGCCAAGAACCCTTGAAGAACATCATATTTTTACCTCTTGATTCTTGCTTAATGTTTGGTACAATTTTCTCTAACTTTGTTTCTTTGTGTTTAGCCATGCTTGGCTAAACTAATCTTGGTTAGCTTTTGGTTAATCCTTTGAACTTTTGTTGAATGTTGAAGAATCCATGAACATGTTCTTGAATCTTTATGGGAATATTTTGTGTTTTAACATCTTATCATTACTTGTATGTTTTAGTTCATGAGTTTAAATGTGTTTGTGGTGATTAGTTGGCTAATTTCTTGATTAAGTAAAGGATCCTCAAATTAGCAAGCAACAAATGATTTTTGTGTTGTTTTAGCTTCACACAATCATAAAAACATTTCCTCCAACATGGTGGTGAAAGCATTTGACCCCTCTTGGATTTGGTGACTTTTTGGTTCTTAATGCTAGTTGACTTTCACTAATTACATGCTATTTGGAATTGGTGACTTTGACTAAGGAAATTGTTATGAGCTTCTCTAGCCATTTCAACAATTAAGAAAAGTCCAGGTAATCTCAAGCTCCTTGGATTACCATAGCCAAATTGAGGATTTAAAACAAGTATTGCACCATTGAATTCTAATGATATGTTCATCAAAAGTCAAAGTGAGAAAACTTTAAGTCAACCATCTTTCCCTTATTGATTTTACATCAAATTCTTATTTTTGTTGCAATTGTCTATTTAAATCATAGTTAATTCTAGTTTGTTTCAAGTATTTCAAAACACCAAAACCCCCCATTTTATTTTTATTTTCATTTTTACAAGTATTTTTACAAAGAGATTTTTCATAGAGTTACAAATTGAACCAATCTCCGTGGATTCGATCCCTTTACCACTATACACTATTTTAGTGTGTAATATTTAGGGTTATTATTTGTGTTGGCCTCGACAACCACCAAATTTTTGGCGGTTGTCGAGGCCAACACAAATAATAACCCTAAATATTACACACTAAAATAGTGTATAGTGGTAAAGGGATCGAATCCACGGAGATTGGTTCAATTTGATAACTCTATGAAAAATCTCTTTGTAAAAATACTTGTAAAAATGACAATAAAAATAAAATGGGGGGTTTTGGTGTTTTGAAATACTTGAAACAAACTATAATTAACTATGATTTAAATAGACAATTGCAACAAAAATAAGAATTTGATGTAAAATCAATAAGGGAAAGATGGTTGACTTAAAGTTTTCTCACTTTGACTTTTGATGAACATATCATTAGAATTCAATGGTGCAATACTTGTTTTAAATCCTCAATTTGGCTATGGTAATCCAAGGAGCTTGAGATTACCTAGACTTTTCTTAATTGTTGAAATGGCTAGAGAAGCTCATAACAATTTCCTTAGTCAAAGTCACCGATTCCAAATAGCATGTAATTAGTGAAAGTCAACTAGCATTAAGA